GCGTAAGCCTAGTCACCAAAAATCAGTGTTCAAGTAGTTGAAAATCTCCCACATAACTATCCTAACCCCCCACCCCATTAGGCCCCGATATTTCAATACTCATATATGTCAGCGGCTAATTTCCCCTCGTATTCCCTACAACTTCCCAGAGAAATTGTAGAATGCCTTAAACACAAAGGATTCGATTTAATTATTCTTACACTACTGTAAAACCTCGAATTAAAGCCCTGGGCTACTTTTTTTTTTTTTTTTTTTTGCGCGAACTTTTTTTTTTTTTTTTTTTTGCGAACTTTGGATGGGCTCCTTTTCGGGGTTATTTTTGCAAAGTAAAGATGGGGGCTTCTTTTCAAAATGAATAATGTAAATTTTGTTAATTTGTATTCTAAAACAATAAATAAGACTACTGTAACATCAATCTGTATCATGGAGTGTATTTAACTGGCATTAAACCACATAAACTACGGTATAAACCAAGCTTTTTTTAAATTTATTTTGTTTTTTGAAATTAATGTACAGTGAAACTGCAATAAGTCCAAAAGAAGCATATGGGCTTCTTTTTAACTCCAAAAGAAGCATATGGGCTTCTTTTCTAAGCAAATTTTGCAAACTAAAGAGAGGCTTCAATTCGAGATGGGCTTCATCTCGAGATTTAGCCGGTTGGGTTTCAATTCGAGGTTTTACGGTATTTCAATTTCGAGGGTAGTACAGCACAAAAAACGAGTTTATTTCAGCTTATGATTTATATTTTATTACAGTAAAAGTATAAATACATTATAAGTATTAAGGTAATTATATGTAATCTAACTTCCTTTGATATTCCATTATCATCCTGGGAATTTAGGCACAATTACGGGATAGGTAACAAAAAACGTAGTCACAATAATAGACCCAGTTATAATAAAAATGAAAATTAAACTGGTGTTTTTTATATGGCATGGGCAATTGTCCTGATAGAAATCCAGGTAAATTGAATAACACAGGCAAAGGGAAGGGGTAATGCAGATGGAAGGAATAAACTGCTATCGTAATGATGGACTAAATTTTAGATGTCGTTAAGAGAGAGAAAATGGTTGTTTTAAAACAAAAAGTATACATTTATACTCTTTGGTTAAATTAAAAAGAGAACAAACAAATGTCACCACTTATAAAACAGTAAGGTTTTGGATGTCGGAATTTGTTATACTGTAATTGTGTTTATAAACAGATATGCGGCAATTAGGCCTATATTCCTTTATGTAGCCTAATCTATTTGGTCCACCCAACGCAAAGTCACATCACCGTACAATAACAAACGCCAGCAGCCTGTCTGTACACAAACGGGGTTGTTAATAATATACCTAGGCTTAAATTGTATACTCCAATCGCACTCATTAGTGCTTAGTACCTTTTAAAATTCATCTTAACAAATATGTTTGGGTGTTTAGTAGCAGGACGTTTGGTGAGTATATAATGTAATATTTTAATTATAATTAAAATCATGTTTATATAAATCGCACCGGCGAGTCAATTGAAGCCTCTTGCTGTGCGCGAGTGAGTGTGGAAAGCTTGTCATATTGCCTACTGTATCTAAAACCCCCAAGAATGTTCTAGACAAGCAACATAGATAGGCCCTAACTAGGATCTAGGCCTAGGTAGATGGAGCCTTCTGATGTAAAGACAATAGTAGTACACAGCTAGGCAGGGGAAGGTTGAGGGTAGGAATTGAAGTATATCTATCTAGGCCTAGGTAGGTGTGGATATACTTATTATTTCGTACGAGAGAAGATGCAGGTAAGGTTAAAAAGACCAAGTGATGCCCAGGTAGAAGAAGGTGGGTAACATTATATGAAATGTTACTGATGATAATACAAATTTAATGCTGTTCTGTTTTTTTTCTATTGAGTGATAGCCTCCTCCTCAAATATAGATTATTAAGTTATACATTATCCATCATAATTGTTAATCGTTGGTATATCACAATCTTATATTTTATTTATATTGTATGTATGGGGTCAAACAGTAAAAAAAACAAAAAACAATTGAATAATTGGCTACACAGATCCAACAAGATTTCCAGGGCTTAGAACCACAGGACAGTTTATCTCAGGATCCCCAAATAACTCGATTCCCACCCCCTTGAAGTGGTACTGGTCAAGTGGAAGAGATTTAGGATTTTTTAAAATATGTTTTTAGTCTAACATTAGAAACTGCAATTTACCTATTTAACTTTGGTTGAGTCAGTAAATTAATATTACTTAGTTCAATGACCTCATTGACTGATTAAATTGTTTTTGGTACTTAGGTTCAAGGTGATCCGACTCGGGTGGACGAGACACATTTTATTTTCAACTTGGTGGACACGGAAAATATCAGTCATGTGGTGATATTTATGCTAGGCACCGTACCTTTTCCAGACGGACTTGGGGGCGCTGTGTACTTTGGTTGGCCAACAACAGCTGGGTTAACGTGGCAGTATTTAGGTCATGTATCAAATGATAAACCAAGTGCTATTTTTAAGCTTTGTAAGGCAAAACCAATAGGTAAGTTTTTCTTTCAATATGCAGCAGCATATTAAAAATGTTTTGTCCCATAAAAATCATATTTAAATTAACTTGCATATTTTGCAGTGACATAAATGTATTATTAACTTGAACATAGTATTGCAAAAATGTTTACCTATTTACAGTGAAAAATATTAGAAACACTTCAGTCTCTGTTAGTGTTTTTTTAATTTTTATCATTATCCAGTATAAAAGTTTGGGCACACATTTTTAAAAATTTCATGATTTTATTTTATGGGCATTGCAGAATGTAATTCACCATATGATTGGTGAGTTGTTAAATGGGAAGTTAGATAACAGATTAAAAAAAAATAGCATTCATTTAGTAAAATAAAACAGCTAAAATCATTTTAATTTTCTTAACTTTCCACAGAAAATGCTGGGTTTGGATCAACATTTGGTGGTGGAACATCGACGAATGCCCAGATAGGCATTGCTGTTGAAAGTATTAATGAAATAATACAACGAACACCCAACTCAAATACTCAGGTAGCCCACTACTTACTGCTATTCAAAATTACACAGGGCCACCCTCCCTCCACCAACCATACAGCCCTGCACCTCACTTGGCTCCAAGTCTACACTATACCTAGACAAACTCATGATACAGTGGACTTTTCCTCTGAAGTGCTGTCCCTTAGATAATTTTGCTACAGTCACACAAACGGAGAGCTGTAACGTACACTTGTGTGTGTTGCCTAGGTACAGTACATACTGTAATGTTCTGAATGGTCAGTTGTTAAGTTTGAAACATTGTAAGGGTCCATAATTTCCTCTCCAGTTCACTACAACCAGAGAATATTCCAGAAAAAGAATTGATGGCATTGGAACTATTTTATAAATAGTTACATCACTCATCAAACTAATATTAATGGAGGATGTTATGGAAGTTGGCTATAATGCTGTACAAAGCACAGTACTAAATTTACAAAATAAATACTAAACTACATACTATCACTTAATATACAGTTACCCATTGTACTCAACCTGTGAAATGTTTATTGACAATTATCTTCTATCTAATGTAGTGGCCTAGCATTGTGTACAAAGTGCTAATTCATTTGGTGGAATAGTATTAGTAATGTCTTTTTTGTGTCTTCATCTTCCAGGCTTCCAAGGTAGAATCTTTTCGAGAATTTAGCCAGAAAATGCTTGAAAGTTTCTTTAATTATGCATCGTCATTCGCAGTAACTCAAAGTCAGATGGTACCCCAACCAGACACAACATTCATTCCAGCGGATGCCATCCAGAAATGGTTTGACAATTTTCAACGAAAGCTTTCACAAGACTTATACTTTTGGAGAACATAGTGACGAAATAAGCCACCTGGTTTCCAATTAAATATGTAAATGAAATGGTCATTTACTACACATAATTGAATGCTGATTGGTCATTTTTTTACCCGAAGTCACAGCAAGTCCAGCTTAGAAAAGTTAACACAGTGGCACGCCAGGCCTAGTTACTATAGGAACACAGTCCGGCTTGAGATAAGCCACCTAGTTCAGACTGGCAGGTGGATAAACCCAGTGAGCTGAGACGGGTTTATCCACAGTCTGAACTAGGCCATAGTAATGCTAGCAATTGTTTATAGACTTGCAACAAATCCCATATTATTTTGTTTCTCATTCATGACAGCGCCACCAATGATAAGACGGAGTAATCGGGGAGAAAAAATTGAGTATGGGACGCAAATTAAATTTGGTATGGCGCACACTAAGTGCAACAAAGAGTGTGTAACCCAACATTAGGGCCTGAAACTCAGACTAGTAACTTTGCTGGAGAAACACTTCCACTCCATGGTCAAGAGTGGCGCTAAACAAAATATTCATGATGTCACTTATTCGAGAGGCAATTTATGGAGAAATTTATAGATTTTTATTTCTCTATGTAGTCTATACATTTTTATACATTAATCTGCTCAAGGAGCATCTTGATGAAGACTGGTGCATTATAAATGCACAGTATTATTATTACTATTATTGAACATGCGCAGTGTGTATATTTTTATTTTAATAATATCTAATAGAATTATATAAATGATTATTACAATTTAGCATTTTAGGTAACCACATATTGATTTGTATTGACCAAGCAAAATTTAAACAATAGTACACCTGACTACTTAAGTCTGCCAATAATATTTAATTGCACAAAAAACACTTTTGTAACACTGTAGCTGTTTATAAATAAGCTAGTTTTGTTTTGAATTCCATTACAAAAATATGTTATACTAATGGGGATACAAACCCAATACCCCCTGATTTCCGGTTGGGGCACTCCACCAACTGAGCCAAGGTACAGTATTGCATAATATGCAATTAATTGATAATCATGTGATATTAAACATAAATTATAGATTTATTAAAATTGATTTGTCTATTTTTGTATTTCTATTGTTTTAAGAAATTATAAACATTAACTGAACTTCAATCTTATTATTTTATTCAATATTTTATGCAGGTTATAGTGATGTCAAATGTCATGCAAAGTTCACTAATATATTCATTACACAGTTGTCCTTAATAGATAGGAATGACAACTTGTAAATGTTTTGAAATGTCTAAAGATGCGATGATATCTAACAACACACATCATAGCTTAAACCAAATAATTAATAATTATATACAATACAGTACCAACATTTATAATATATTTTGTGTTAAATAACAATTACCATGACATTATCTGTAAATATAAATTTCTATAATATTGATTCATATCAATCATTGTTTAATAAAATGAGTATTGAATGTCTGAAGCTCTGTCAATACTATCAATTTTATGCAAGGCAATTCAACAACGGAATGCACATCGGATAGGATAGCCCACGAAAGTCTAGAAGAAGACTTATTTTCAGTGGGGTCCTTCTGGTGGCGATTGGGCAGCACACCGGGAGACAATTCCCTACTCTTTTCTGAAGAGTGTACTGCGTTCTTTAACATGCACATGGGCCATCAATGCACACGGGACCAACGGCTTAAACGTCTCATCCGAAAGACGGTGCACTATTTTAACTTTTATTTTAGCCCTCTAGCTAAAACACAAGGAGAGGCAGCGATGGGAATTGAACTGGGGACCTAGAGATCTCCATGGTTCAGCGCACACACAGTGGCTACCACCAGATTAGTCAACTAAGCTAAACTGCTCTCCCCGCTCATGAACATAGCGCATGCATACAGTCTTTAATCTTTACTGTATATCCAGTATAGCCATCAATTATGTGTGCCATTCGTTAAATGGTATTAGTTACTATTTCAATTAATTTTGCGTAGTTCGCAATGTATGTTACATCTGATTTCTTTTGACCACGAGCTTGTTAAGTGCTTCTATAAACTACAATTTAATTCATGAAAATTGACCAACAAAATGAAGTTATAGCAAATGAAAATTTACGATTTTTATAAAAAATCGTGTTCTTATACAGTTCGCCCTCCAATTCGAGACCACCCTTGGGACCTGAAAATATGGGTGGTCTCGGGGTTGGTCTCAAATTAGAGGGGTCCCTGAATTAGAGGGGTCTCTAATTGGAGTGTGCAGTGTATAACATTAAACTGTCATTTGGACAAGGACTAAGGTGCACAAAACAAACTTTTAAGTAGATGAAGAAAATTTATTTATTTTTTCTGCGAACTGAGTCTCATGAACCGCTGGACACCACCTCATCGGTAAAATTAATGTTGAAATATCAATATAATTAACAATATAAAACCATTAGGCCTTTGTAGTCACCGCACGACACGTGATGATCATGGCAACTGACACACTAGTGGGTAATTCGTCACACGCTGATGGTTAATTATGGTTTGGTTGGAATGGGTTTTGTGACAATCAGGGCGCGGTAAACTCGGTCAAGCATGTAGGAGCATGTGGCGCGTAGAATTTCGATGCCAGGGTTATAACCTTTGACATGCCAAGATGTGTGTCCTTTTGTTGAATTGCCTTGTTTTATGTGACAAATTTGTATCATGTTCACATGGGCATAATGATGTCATATTACACCCAAATAACAGTCATACCAATTTTTTTTTTTGTCACATACAGTTTGATAGTGTAAACAAGGCTTAATGTTGTTGTGCATAACCAACCATTTAACAATGTAATCCCCTGGAGGTCAGCTTGTATGTCATGAACGTTCTAAGGGGGTGCTTTCTACATGCTGAAGGATGACAATCGAAGATGCTGCATGTTATTACGAGCTGCAAAAGAAGTAAAATATTTTACAACTTCAAAATAATATTTTTATCAGTACTCTCATTATTGTCATTTAATGACATGTTGACATGTTTTGCCTTCGATTTTTCTTACCCAAGCTACACCAGAATCAAGGTTAAGGGATGGATAAAACTCTCTTTATGAGCATTAACGTAGGTGTCGGTTGATATTCATTGGTGTCTAAAATAAATGAAATAATGTGATGTTTTTTCAGCGAAGTCTCGTTATGAGGCTTAGGGAGTGGGGTTGTTTTTTGTTGTGAGAAAAAGTCCTGCTCTTACAGGAATTGAACCCAAACCCATGACACTGGGATCAGAAGGCAAGCATCTTAACCACTAAGCTATATAACTTCATACATTGTTGAATGTATGAGTTACACATATAGCTCCCTCTTTAGAATATAGGGAATATACATAACCAACAATTGGCTTGATGTACATTATTTAATAGGATTGTTCCCCCCTCACTGTAGATGTCCTTAATAATTAGGTGCCAAATTTTGACTCAGGACTGAATGTTTGCAAAAGGTTAAAGAACTCAACTTCTACCTGGACTTAGAGATCTTAGTTATCCTGAACGTCTAATTCATCTCAACCTTCCAACATTAGCGTATAGAAGGAAACGAGCTGATGTAATAGAGATCTTTAAAATCTTAAAAGAATTTGACACTCTTAGAACGGAAGATTTTTTTATTTTGGATTCTGCGTCCCGAACCAGAGGTCATTCGTTAAAATTCAAAAAACCTAAAGCTAAGACCAGATTAAGGCAGTTTAGCTTTGCAGTGAGAGCAATAAATGAATAATTTCCCGGAAACAGTAGTAAAAGCTTCATCTATAAATAAATTCAAAACAGAATTAAGGAAACACTGGATCACACCCACTAAAATTCAACCCTTATATGAGAGCATGGCAGGGAGTCTAGAGAGTGGCATATAAGCAATAGCTTAAAGCCTAATGCTAAAAGTATACTAAAAGTAAGTAATAATGCTGTAATTGATAAAAAGAATAAATTTACTGTACCTTCAAAATAGGTTGTGTCTGATTCATCATCAGGATTAGGTATGAAATTTGGGGAGATGTCTTGAATATGATCCCAGTCAATACTAGAAAATAACTTGTGTTCTTTTAAATCTGAAAAAAACAATGAGAGAAATAAACCATGAAAATTATTTATATAATGAATGAATAATTGACAGAGCAATATCAAAGTTTCAGTTAAAGAACAATCTGTACACATTTTGATTAATTGGTGCAACTACAAAAATCATATTAGAAAATAAAAAAACAATAATGATCATAATAGTATAATGATAAAAATATTTTCTTATTTCATTCCATCCTTACTCCATCCTTATCCAACAGTCTCATCACTTCCTAGATGGAAATATTGCTCTACCTAACAAGCCTTAGAAAAAAATTACTGGTTTACTGTTCATGAATTCAACATAAGACCCTCCAGTTTGGAAGTATCTTAACCACCAGCAGTATCAAAAATTATGTACCACTAGCTTTGGCTCTTTGACGAGGATCCATTGCCAGCAGTTTACTGATGACATCAACAGCTTCTTCTGACAAACTCTCATCATCTTCTGGCCATGGAATATCTGTGGAAGATAAGTATCTGGTCAGGATGTCTCTTAAACAGCAACCAACTTCTAATCTGGGGGAAGGGGAGCGGAGAGCGAAGTTGACATGAGGGGGGAACTAGCATGCAAGATAAGGCAATATTAACTTACCTGAGCAAAATTTACAGTGAGGGCAACAGGGGGAGGGGTGTGCACCACCCACTGCATAGAAACAGCAAGTGTCTTGGCATTTACAGGATGGAAGCTCCATGCTCATTACAAGATTTAGTGAGTGCGGACATTTTTTTGTTCATGAGAAAGTCAGTGCTTTTTGCTCTTTTAAAACTTTAATTATTCTTGGATACTCAAAACTTCATACATTTTTATTTATCAACATTAACACACACAAACTTTACCTCTGTTATGAATATTTTGAAAGATGAGCTGAGGTGTCTGGTCATTGAATGGTGGAACACCTGTCAGAAATTCAAATAGACACACCCCAAGTGACCACCAATCAATCTCCACACCTGAAAGAACAGTCAACATTAATATACAGTTGATGACAATATTAAAAACAATAATCCTAATCACATCATTTATTTACTACCATTATATCCAGCAAATATCATTTCAATTTAAACATTTTGTATGCTGTGAGCTAAAAGAGAAAAATGCACCCAACAACATTCTTCATTCAATTCTTCTGGGTGTTCACTTATTAAAATGGTTGGGTCAAATAAATAAAATACTGAATAAGTAAATGAATATATAAATGAATAAATAAACAAACAAAAAATAAAAAAATGATTGTAGCCAGATATTCCTTTAGGCAGGATTACAAGAAGAGAGATTAAATTTTTTTTAAATATGAAAGTCAGTAGAAGATGTTTTTACCCTCAGCAATTGCATTTTTTATTAAGGAGAGGAGAAAAAAAGTATGAAAAGTAGTCTCACCATGTTCTTGAAGGTTTAGTATCTCAGGAGCTAAATAATCTGGTGTCCCTAGAATACGTTTCTGTTTTCCCACATTGACACCTCTTCTACAGCTCTTTGGTGTTCGGTACGGTGTCTGATATGTGTTCTTTGGAGTCCATGAGGATGTTCTCCCAATTTTTGGTGTCTGCAAAAAAAAATATTTTAGAAACTAATCAAAGGGAGGTAATCAACCAAAAGCGAAGGAATCAATATCACAGCTGTGTCTGCCAGTGCCACAAATTATCAAATAATTGCAGTGGGGTGGGGGAGGGGGGTTGGCAAACATTTTGCGGTTCAAATTCACAACCTTGAGGTCAATGATTTTGAAACCTCTTGCTGACAGTACATTCACCACTTGCGTCTTTGGTTCTTTATATCTCTCCACCAAAGAATATAAATTTGCATATGTTGGGCATTGTGCCATTTACTGTAGTGTATTAAAGCACCACTCCTTAGGAAGTGAAGAAGTTTGTACTTTGTGGCAGTTTGCCAAATGTGAATCAAATGGAGTAATAACAACATTCCTTGCTAAAAATCATGTTATAAATTCCTATGTTATTGTTATTATTTAGGGGAGGTGCAAATTTTTTATTTTGTGTATAAGAGACAGGGGCAGCACTTAATACAAAAACAGAACTGTACCAGCCATGCTTGTAAGTAAATAAACAAGGGTAAGTCTAAGTATTGTACAGTACTCATACCTTGTAAGGTGTTTTTGAATGGCGGCTTTGTGCAGGTGTTTTGAATGCAAAGCTAATATCCATTGACGCTTCATTTGTTGATTTGTAATGCCCATCATCAGAATCATTCCTTGGTGATGATACTTCATCACTTTGGTAACCCTGTGAGCTTTGTTCTTTTTCTCCTTCTTTTGGATTTACTGATGGAGTAGATCCCAATCGTTCCCGCACTTTATTAGTTTGATCTAGGCTGGGATATGGACTACCGTCGAAAGTGTGAAATAAGTTCACTGAAATACCACTGCTTTCCCTTGATATCTCATGTATTTTGACATTTCTACAGAAGCCAACAGTATTTGGGTTTGGGCTTGAAAAACTCTGATGTGCCAATGGCCCATTCTGTCTTTCTTGCATTGATGCCCAGCTTCCACCTGTAAAATACTGTGGACTAGGATCTTCCTTAAACACATCATCTGGATCATTGACATTAAGTTCAGAACATGAAGGTGGATGGCAGACATTGACACATGCCTTTGAGTTGATAGACTCAACAGTAGAGTTAATCTCAGAAGGACTCCCCTCTTGTGGTGATGTTTCTTCAAATTTAAGACTTGTATTGATCTCTTCTTGGCCCTCACTCTCCAGTCGCCGGATCTTTGGAAGACTGTGGAGCCTTGCACGTCCAACAACAGGAGTACCTTGAATATTTACAACATTCATTATTTCTGTTAATCCAGTGCTCTTTGACGAAATTTGTATTGACTCAATTACACCATCGTCAGATGAGTCTGAATCAGCTTGGATCCGTTTTCTTTTGATGCCATGTATTCCTGACAATGGTGTTGACTGGATCTGCTGACTGCTGAAGATGTTCCGGTAATCGCTTTGGATTTCTGGTGATATAACATCAGTAGATTTAGTAGGTATTCCAATGGTATCCACATTGCCTTGATTACCTGTTCCATTAACAGGTGACTTAAGTGGATCCTTATCATCTGTGAATCCTGGTCTAACAAAAAATGTTTTTTTTCCACATTGAATTTCTCCTCTTATCTTCAGGTTTCTTGGCTTATGACTGCTTGTCAATGGAGTGCAAGTTAACTGGTTTCCGGCAGTACTTTGTTCCTTAGCTCTAGTCTCTTTATTTTGGTTGGTTATATCCTTCAATGCTGGTGACTGCTGCGAATATCAACAAAAAACATCATTTTTTTAAAATTAGTAATCCATATTTAGTTTACTCTCAAGTGATTTGCCAATTAATTGCATGTTATGTGTCCTATCTATAGGAAAAATCATTTGGAGTATACAAGCTAAAAAGCACACGAGTGGCAGGGGCCTTGTATTTAAAACTTGCTGAGGATAATTTTTTCCCCTCAATAAGCATTTATCATCATTTTATAGTAGTTTAAGAGAAGGAGTAGTTGTTTTTGGGCTAGATTAGGATAACACAAGTATGTATGTAGGATAAGAGTAAGTATACCAAAAAAATTAACATAAACAGACCTACACAATTATGTCTCTCTGAATATGACTCTGTCAATGACGGTCAGTTCCAATAATAATATATACCGATAAGGGTTTCATGTTAATCACCAATAAATTAGTAAAAACAGAACAAACCTACAGAATTTTTAATAACATTTTTATTTAAAATTGGTATTGGGGTAGTGCATGATTAGTTGGTAATGAATGACCCTGGGCAAAAACTGAAAAGAATATGATATTTACAAATCCTAGGCTAGATGTCAAGGAGAGGATTTGGCCAGGGGTCCGGTAAAAATTCTCAGGTAATTTGATGTTTCTGGTGGCTGGTGTCTGTATGATATCGGATGCTGTAAGTTCTGAAAGATTAAAATTGAGGTGTAATTACTATGTGCAGTTAATAAAACACTTAAAATTGTAGTACTTTAGAGACTAGTTTTAATTGACATTACAAAGCATAATGCCAATATTTTTTATAAGCACCGCTCTCGAATAAGTGATAGATATTAAAGTAAATATAATTACATACTTCTTTGTAGTTTTATAGATGATAAACCAAAATCAGTAAGTTTTATGTGGCCCGAAGCTCCTATTAGCATGTTATCCGGTTTCAGATCCCTAAAAAAGAATTAAAAATGAAGTCAGTAAGTTTGAAATCATTGAGAAGGAATGGCACTCTGACCGTAACCTGATGGCACAGATAACCAGTGGGTTTATATTACATAAATAAAGGATGCTTGTGCAAATTTATAGTAGAAGAAGATCTACTTGAAATTCACCCTCCATCCACAACATATATCTGGACTACAGGCCTGAGGCAGCAGTAAATGTACAGGAAGATTTCACTGTCAAAGATCATAAAATGGAGCCATAACCCTGAGCCCTAAATTGGCCTTCCATGCTCATGGTTCAGCTGTAGAACTTACTCTTCCCAGATAAGAGCTCTTAACCATAGACCGAGTGCAAACTAAAACGTGTGTACTTCTAAGAATCCTGGACACCATTTGTGAAGAGACAGGCTTACCCTGGTATTCTGGTCAAGCCCACTGCTACAAATTAGATATTAGTGCCAATCGGCAGCAAACTGATACAATCTTTCAAAGAGTAGAACGATATAGGAATTAGATTTTCTTGGCACTTTCAAACAGCAAGGAAAATCACTATATTATATATTTTAACATTTAACAATTAAAACACTGATTACATCTCTTTGAACATTTATAAAGTTTACCTATGTATAATTCCTTTACTGTGAATGTACTCTAGTGCAAGACAAACTTCTGCAGTGTACAGCACAGCCATTTCCTCATCAAAGTAGCCACACATATGAATTAACGACTTCACATCACCCCCTATCATGTATTCCATCACCTAAGGGGAAAGAGTTTACCGATGACTCATAATATTTAATAAATTTTATTTAACCTATTGTTTAAAAAGCGTACAATTCGTTCTTACAATTTTTCATTTATCATTTGGAGTGCCATATAAAGCTATATCCACACTATGAAATATTATTTGACAAAAACATGTGATATGCCTAAATATGGTCATGATGACATCACATAATGACCATATATAGGCACATCAAGGTTATATATGGGCATGCAAGTTTTGTCATTTAAGAAAATTTGATAGTGTGGACAGAGTTTACTTTAAATATTGTATCTCAACTTGGTAAGATGCACATCACATGATCACCAGTTTGTTAAGCATTGGAAATACCTTTCATTGATTGTGAGGGTGTGATTTCACAGATGCTCTGGAAAACGTGGCATAAATACACATGAGGTAGACAGTAACAGAGACAGTCACCTCAAAAATGTTCACTGCATTTACAAAGCTTGTGTTATTTTTTATTTGGTAAGCCAAGGAGTGAAATTCTATCCTCACTAACAAGTTTTAGGTAACAAATGTGTGTGATTTGTCTATTTATGGGCATATGATGATGCTATATAACCCCCATAGAATTACAACTACTGTCAAAATTTGATAGTGTACTCAGAGATTTTGCTATGGGAGTATATTTTTAAGAAAGTATAATACATACTCGCCATCGATGGCGTGTATTTCAATACTTGGAGTATGTATTATATTTTCTTATCCAAGATTAATCAGTGGACCTTTTGGTTTTCAGTATATTTTTAATGCTGCAATGATAAAGATTCTAATACACTGATCCCAAAAGTACAGTAACATTAAGTTTAAGCATATAATTATTTCTTCATTGAATGAAAAATTATTTTGTAACTTACTAGATAAATGTTTTTCTCCGACTGTATTGAGTAATATAAGTGAACGATGAATGGGCTTTTTGACAAAGCCATTGCATCTCGTTCAGCTTTTGCTTGGCCTGCAATGTTCTTCAAGACCATCTCTTGTTTGTGCATCACTTTGATGGCATACAGTTGATCCTTATCCTTATGTTTACCTAAGAACACCTTTCTGTACATTAAAAAGAGATTATATTTTTCTATAAGACATCTTCTGATGTCTCGGAAGATGCTAAAGAAGACGCATCACATTGATTACTGCTCCATGTGTACGTGTGTGTCAACTGCTAGTGCTGTATACGCATAAGGTACAAGTGTGAAATCAAGACACTAGTTGCTTAATATACAGTACACAGACAGCAGAAAGTTTCGGGTTTGAATCCTGGTTGGAGCAACTTATTCACTTTCAGATCAGATTCATCTTCTATATCGTATATACAATATAATAATGTTATATATATATATATATATATATATATATTTGATATATAGGTTTGATTATACATTTTTTTATTTTTGTGTCACACATACTGTACATGTTGCAACACTTCAGATAAAATTGAGTGTAGCACCATGTATGTAACACAAAACTAAATAGTAATAAAATATCTAATCAAACTTTGCTTATTATTTTTTAACTGCTCTGGTTTACCATTCACTTAGTTGATACTACTGTATTTTGCAACATTTTCCACCATCTTTGCTACATATATGCAAACATACAAATTTATTCTTGCAACAATGAATGGATTATTTAATGTTAGATGCCTTACCCAAAAGCTCCCTTGCTAATTGGCTTAAGGATAGTGAAGTCTTCAATTACAGGTGCCTATAAATAAAATTGAAAACTGGAATTATGAAGGAAAGAAAAGAATTTGCATAAAATACAGGTAGTGGTTAGTGTCTGTGACTTAATATAGTAGTAGAAGGTAAAGTTTTTTTTTCTGGAAAACGAGACAGAAATGTGGAATCTATTATAGACGGTTCGATAAAATCATGAGGCTGAAGATGGCCGAGGCCAACGCGAGGTACTGCGTACATCAGTGTTCAGTCTTTGAAACAATTGTATTCCAATTTTTAAGATGATGCAAAATAGTGACAGCAAAGTCAGCGACTACTATTTTCCGGTCACAGAAAAACAACCATTACAAAATCAAGCAAGTTTTCCACTTCCAATAGAGAAGGCCAGACAGAAACAATTTCTGCTGATTTACAAAATTTACGAAAATCTTTTGATCAATTTAAGGGCATAGGCCTATTCAAATAATAGAAAAAATATACTATTTTTCTTAATTTCAACCAAGAGTTAAGCCCAATTAATTATTAAAATAATAGTCGGTGAATTTTCAGTACGCCTGGGGCTTTCTTCTTTGTTGTACAATAGGTTGGTTTTAAACACAGTGGAGGCCCTCTCTCTCTCTCTATGCTCTCACTAACCATAGAGAAAATAACACAGCATGTAATAGTCAGCTGTTTTTGTTACAAGTGAAATACAGAATGTTGAAATATGAATAAGCCTAAGCCTAGGCTATATCATGAGATTGTGACCTTACTATAGTGTTCGAGAAATACAATGAGACTCCAGACACCATGTAAAACTGATTATAAAAGGGTTTTATTCGTCAAATGCGTGACCACTCCTCCTACGGCCCACGAGACTATTTTGCAGGACCATATCATATTAATATGTATGTTGAATACTAATAGTTGAAAGGTTACAAGATCATCATCATCATCCTATAATGCGCATAAACCTCAAATGAGTATATTCGCTCAGCGTTGGTGGTCAGTTATGTTCACTTGAGAAAATTAACGGATGTGAATATCAGATACCCTGTCTATAGATGGTCTGATTCAGCCTACATTTAAAAAAAATATTGCCTGCTGCTGGATATGGTCCGAATGTAGTAGCCCCACCTTGGTAAACACAACAATGGACTAGGCCTAGGTCTAGAGGCCTAGATAGGCCTTGCCTAGGGCTAGGCTACGGGTATTCTAGGCGGGTTACATCTTGAGCCTAGGCCTACCATGAATATTGTTGGAAAAGCTAACTATAGTCTATAGATGAGGCCTAGCTACACTACTTCAATACATGCACATTTATTACCTTCATCTTCACAACAAATGAATGAAATTTCACAACTCAAAACTCATCTTATTAAGGGTTAATTCACTGTAAATAAACGTTAAAACTTTGAAATACCCGCGATGCCATGAATGACCTTTCTGCTTCGGCTAACGTCTCGTGACCCGTTTAAATAAGCGCCCCCTGATGTTTAACTTGATGTTTTTTCTCTAAGCAGTGGGCTTATTCGACTGGTTCATTTCGTTGAGTACGAATTTTCGTTGAGTATAACGAAAATTAACGTAACCAAGAATGCGTTAATCAGTGTTAAATTATGCACGTGACCAAAAAAATATGGCCCATTGGTCAGTTTAGCAACAACATTTGCGTTAATATAATTTGATTAAATTTCAGAAAATAAAAATTATAATATTTAACCACAATGAAGTAAAAAAATAATACATATATATATATATACATATATATATATATATATATATATATATATATATATATAT